GCTCCCTATGGAGCCACGAAACGTGTGAGGGGTGTGCCGAAATGGGTGTGGGGGACGCATGCGGCCGCGGGCACTGGGGCCTTCGGTGGAGCTCCCTATATGGAGCCGAAACGAAACGTGTGAGGGGTGTGCCGAAATGGGTGTGGGACGCATGCGGCCGCGGGCACTGGGGCCTTCGGTGGAGCTCCCTATGGAGCCACGAAACGTGTGAGGGGTGTGCCGAAATGGGTGTGGGGGACGCATGCGGCCGCGGGCACTGGGGCCTTCGGTGGAGCTCCCTATGGAGCCACGAAACGTGTGAGGGGTGTGCCGAAATGGGTGTGGGGACGCATGCGGCCGCGGGCACTGGGGCCTTCGGTGGAGCTCCCTATGGAGCCACGAAACGTGTGAGGGGTGTGCCGAAATGGGTGTGGGGGACGCATGCGGCCGCGGGCACTGGGGCCTTCGGTGGAGCTCCCTATGGAGCCACGAAACGTGTGAGGGGTGTGCCGAAATGGGTGTTGATGATGATGATGATGGGAGGGGGGGGGAGGCAGCGGGAGGAAGGAGAACGCGGGGCACCGTCTCTTCAAAACGAGGACCCAACACCACAGGATGGTTGGGAAAAACATCCCAAAAAAAACTTGCCAAAAACCGCCCACTCACATGACGGCAAACCTTCCAAAAACGTTTCGCGAACGTTCAAAAAATAACGAAATCGCCAAATGCACCCCGGAAACCCTCCAAAACATGTCCTCTTGTTCTATATGTACAGGTATAAGTATGTGTATATATATATATATGTGTGGACATGTGCATGTACATGTACATGTGTATATATATATATACACATGTGTATAAGTAAAAAAGAAAGAAAGAAAGAAAGAAAGAAAGAAAGAAAGAAAGAAAATACATTACTATATTACCTAACAGCGAAGACTGATAGGTTTCTAGTGGGCGCAAAAGAACGCATCTTGACTGCCCAGGGGGGTCTGGGCAGATGCCGGACGGGTGCCGGGGAAAACCGGGGACTCCCCAGAACCCTATCCCAGGCTAGATTTTGACTGCCAGGCCACATTTTGAATGCCCGGAGCCAACTGTAAGCCACTTCGTGTTCTTCGCTTTCCCAGAACACCATTCCCAGGCCACATTTTGAATGCCCGGAGCCAACTGTAAGCCACTTCGTGTTCTTCGCTTTCCCAGAACACCATTCCCAGGCCACATTTTGAATGCCCGGAGCCAACTGTAGGCCATTTCGTGTTCGTCGTTTCCCAGAACACCATTCCCAGGCCACATTTTGAATGCCCGGAGCCAACTGTAAGCATTTCGTGTTCTTCGCTTTCCCAGAACACCATTCCCAGGCCACATTTTGAATGCCCGGAGCCAACTGTAGGCCACTTGGTGTTCTTCGTGTTCCCTGAACACCACTCCTGTACCATATTTTGATTGCCTGGAGCCAACTCTGGGCCACTTCGTGATCTTCGTGTTCCCAGAACACCAGTCCTGTGCCATATTTTGAATGCCCGAGCTGAAGCAGGCTGAGGCCGAGGCAGGCTGAGGCCGAGGCAGGCTGAGGCTGAGGCCGAGGCACGCCGAGGCAGGCTGAGGCTGAAGCTGAGGCTGGCTGACGCTGAGGCAGGCTGAGGCTGAGGGTGACGCAGGCTGAGGCCGAGGCAGGCTGAGGCTGAGGCTGAGGCAGGCTGAGGCTGAGGCAGGCTGAGACTGAGGCTGAGGCAGGCTGAGGCTGAGGCTGAGGCAAGCCGAGGCTGAGAGGCTGACGCTGAGGCAGGCTGAGGCTGAGGCTGAGGCCGAGGCAGGCTGAGGCTGAGGCTGAGGCAAGCCGAGGCAGGCTGAGGCTGAGGCTGAGGCGGATGCAGGCTGAGGCTGATGCTGGGGCTGGGGCTGAGGCAAGCTGCGGCTGAGGCAGGCTGAGGCTGATGCAGGCTGAGGATGAGGCAGGCTGAGGCTGAGGCTGAGGCTGAGGCCGAGGCAGGCTGAGCCTGAGGCCGAGGCAAGCCGAGGCAGGCTGAGGCTGAGGCTGAGGCTGATGCTGAGGCAGGCTGATTCTGAGACAGGCTGAGGCTGAGGCTGAGGCAGGCTGAGGCTGAGGCCGAGACAGGCTGAGACTGAGGCTGAGGCTGAGGATGAGGCCGAGGCAGGCCGAAGCTGAGACAAGGTGAGGCTGAATGGGGGGGGGAAGGGGGGGGGGAGGAGGGGAGGCTGAGGCAGGCTGAGGCCGAGGCAGGCTGAGGCCGAGGCAGGCTGAGGCTGAGGCTGAGGCTGAGGCTGAGGCTGATGCTGAGGCTGAGGCTGCAGGCTGAGGCTGAGGCTGAGGCTGAGGCTGCAGGCTGAGGCCGAGGCAGGCTGAGGCTGAGGCTGAGGCAGGCTGAGGCTGAGGCCGAGGCAGGCTGAGGCTGAGGCTGAGGCAAGCCGAGGCAGGCTGAGGCTGAGGCTGAAACTGAGGCAGGCTGAGGCATCCGTAGGAATCCATAGGAATCCTTAGGAATCCGTAGGCATCCTTAGGAATCCGTAGGCATAGTTAAGCATCCTCAGGAATCCTTCGGAATCCCTAGGAATCCCTAGGAATCAGGATTCCTAAGGATTCCTAAGGATTCCTATGGATTCCTAAGGATGCCTAAGGATGCCTTAGGAATCCCTAGGAATCCTTAGGATTCCATTGGATCCTGAGGCCGTTGCCACTGCGACTGTCATTGCGACTGCGACTGCGACTGCGAGAACAGCAGAATTCTACAACTGGATTCTCACCTGAATCGTAAGGGGAATGCTTCCAGATATGCTTATACACATCGCTGTTAGGTTGCTTCGCTGGGATATGTTTGTTTTGGTGCTTAACACAGAAAAATGAGAGAGAAGAAGCAACAAACAAAACAAAACAAAAAAAAAAAAAAAAAAAAAAAAAAAAAAAATGACCTGGCGCACCACGACGCGGCGTCCCGACACGGTGGCCTACAGGGGGGCGTGCCTCCCAGGGCAGCTTGCGCGGTGGCTCACGCGGGCGCTCACCTCGAGGCTCTCGGTGGACACCCTGCGCGGGTCGCGAGTATCGGGCCGGACGAAAGGGGGGGAGTTGGAAAGGGGGGGCTACGAAATCTGCTGCATGTAGCTGGATTCGGCCTCACCGAGGGGCCCATTCCTCGATACATGGCCGCCTCCGGCGCCGGGAGGCGCAGGGAAAATCAGCTGCGTGAGCTGATTCTCAACCCCCCCTTTTGCTATCCCCCCCTTTCGCCCGACCCGAGAATATGGCACCATGCCCGAGCGCTGCTCCGAGACACTGCGCGGACGGCTCACGCGCCAGCGTCAATGTAGCCGACTCCGCTTTTATATCTATCTATATATATATATGTATAGATATGTGTGTGTATCTCTCTCTTTCTCTCTCTCTCCGCTCACCTGCGCTCGCTTCCCTTTGGCTCCGAACGCGCAGGTCAGCTGCTCGCAGCGCTTCCCCATCGGGGGATGAGGCGGCAACAAAAAATGAATTCCTGAATTCTGAGACTTGAGCCGAAAATGACATCATACTGGCACTTGTGCCCCCTGCTGCGGTCCCATCCCGAATCAAACGGCACCTGGACCCCTCCCGGGGTCCATCCATGCCAGTACTCCGAGTTGCGTCCAGCCGTGGTGAGAAGGGCTCGACCCTACCATGGGCGACTCCCGGGTGGTGCAAATCGCCCTCTCTGGTCGTAACCGCAGAGCCAGAGTGTGGGGAGGACTAGCCCTCTGCTTCATCATCGCACAGTCCCCGTGGACGGGGGGTGCACGGAGGGGGGGAGAGGAGTGCAATTCACTGCAACGCAACAATGCTATTCGATTGCATTGCAATTCGAATGCACTGAAATGCCAAATCAATACAATCATTGCGACTGCACTGCGATGCGATTGCGATGCCATGCAATCCCACGGCAATGCAATGCGGTTGCAATGCAAATTTGAATGCAATGTGTTTGCAATTCAATGCGATGCGATTGCAATGCGCTGCGGTTGCATTGCAATGCACTGCGTTTTTTTGTCATCCTCCTCCCTCCTCCGTTTTTTCCCAAAGGCATAGGGGGGAGGAGGGAAGGGGTGCGCGAGGAGAGGGGGGAGAGGAGCGTGGGAGGACAGGACCCCTCCCTTCCCTCCCCGTTGCTGCTGGCGCCTGGGAGGGGGGGGCAAAAAAAAGAAACAGAAAAACAAAAATGTTGTTGTTTGTTCTTCTTTTTGTTGTTGCCCCTCCCCTCCCAGGCGCCAGCAGCAACGGGGAGGCGTGGAGGATACCCACCCTCCAGCTCCTGGGCAAGGGGGGGGAGGTTCTCCGTATGCGGGGAGGTGGAGTCGCTGGGCGTGCTTGTCCGCAACCGGAGCGACGTCTTTCCCCATGGCGTAGGCCAATCGTTTGGCCAGGGTTATGTCGGGCGTGTCCCCCTACAGGGGGATTTTCGACGAAAATCAAAAATACCCCAGAGAGGCAAAAAAATACTCCAAAAATAGTCCCCAGACTATTTTTGGATTATTCTTGGATTATTTTTGGTGTATTTTTCGTCGAAAATCTCCCTGTCGGGGGACAGGCCCGACTTAAGGCCAGGGGTTCCAGGGTCGAATCGCTCCCCTGCGAAACTCTGTTTTTGTTCCTTTTGCCCTGCTTTCTTTATCTCCGCAGCGATTCTTTGTTGGTTTGCTCACCTCGCTTTTGCGAAACCGAGTTGGCCGCGTGGTGGTGTGCTCGGTTTTGCGAACCTCGCTGCCTTGGGTTCGTGACCACCCAGGAGTCTGTAGCGGATGTGCTCTGGTTCCCATGTTCAGGAGGGGAAAAAACACACAGACACAATTAATCGTCGATTCCCCGGAAAAATGAGAAAATATGGGAAGTGGGGGGGAAGACAAAAAAACAGAAAATATGGGAAAATATGGGGAATCTGTTTGTTTGTGTGTATTTATTTGTGTGTCCTGCGGCTCCTTCACATGTGCTCTCCCCCCTCCTGCCCTCCCCCCCTCGAGCCCCCCCCCTCCCCCTGGAGGACGCAGAGGACGGAGGCGGACGCCGCCGCGCGCAGGCGACCTGCGCCGCCGCCTGGAGCCGCGCCGCCGCCGTGGAGGCGGTGCTGTGCCACGCCGAGGCGGCCTGGGCGGCCGCCCTGCTCCGGGGCCGCGGCCGCCGCCGGTGGCCTCGGGCGCCACAGTCGGGGGCGGCAAAGAGGGGAGTGATGACTGGGGGAGGGGGTGGATATCATGGCGGGGGCCATGATATTTCCCCAGATCTCAGGGCGCCTCTTCTTGTTTCATTACGTCCCTGGCCCCCCCGCTGGGCCGCGCACATGCCGCCGGTCATGATTTGCACCCCCCCCTCTTGGACACCCCCCTCTTGGCCGCTCCCGACACAGCGATGTCCGTGGTTCTGGCCAAAGGTGTCCCAGGCTGTGCGCGCCAGCGTGGAGCCCATGCCGGAGCCCTGTGGGCCTCGCGGGGGGCGCCCCGCAGCGACCATCACCTGGGCTTCACCGGAGATCCCGGGGACACCTTGGGCCAGGGACGCCTCGGGCAACACCCGAAGAGAACCTCCGTCCAACGGGACGTCGCTGTCGCCGCAGCGGTGGTCGCGCTGCAGCGTCTGCCATTTTCCAGCGTAGCTCCGTCCCCTGGAGCGACGCTCTCGCCGCAGCGCTGGGCGTGGTACTGCACCCGCCAAACATGCAACTCCCTTCGCAGCACTTGCCACATGTATAGTCCCACCGAGTCTCCGCCCGACGGAACGACGCCCCCCGCATAATTCGTCTTCTCTATATTTGGTTTCCTCCTGCCTCCCAGTGTTTCTTTGCCTTCCTCGTCGCCTTCCTCAGTTCGACTTCCTCCCCGTTCGTCAACGGTCCTCTTCCTCGCACAGCGAACGTCGATACAGATGTTTTCGCGGGCCGATGGCGACGTTCGAAAGCCTCTCGGAACACGCTCAAAGTGCGCACCCAAGCTCGGGCTCCGTGATGCCGCCTCCAGTTGAGCAGTTGTTAGCGCTTGGGATCTATATGGAATTGCCGTGTTCTGCTGTTCGGGCAGAAGCAGTAGCCAATAGCCCCCTGACAAAGCCTCGAGCGAATTTGTAATTAGCCTGGCATTGTGCAGCTGATAGCCCATAGCAGAAACCTACATATTTCTTACGATTACAGAAAGGAGAAAGAAGGTGAGTAAGTTGCAGAAGCTCTGGATCACGGGGCTTCACGCTGCAGGATACTTCGGCGCCGAGGTCGTTGCGGCAGATCAGCGGGAGGTGTCTGCAGCCCAGGCCCGTTACCTCCGAGCGGCCAGAGCGTCGTGCCTTGCGTGATCCAGAACATGTTATGTTTTTGTTGGGTGACCCTGCGTACAAAGATAGGACCGGGGCCTGCTCTGCGATGAAGTAGCCGTGTCTGGACGTAGCATTTCCGCACCCCGCAGGCCTGAGGGAGTTTCGAGTTATTGCGCGAGGCGCGAGGCACGCAAGTATTTTTGGATGAGCTCACTGCTTGAGGCATCGTCACCGATCATCCCCTTACTTGTGTGTGGTCAGCATCGGGCTGGCGTCTTCGTCGCTTGCAGCTTTACATCATCCCAGTTGTCTGCAATTGTTTCAGCCCAACTTGAACCGATCCCCCGGACCTGGAGCCACGTAAGAGGCTTTGTAGGGGCCACCACTGGCTACTCGACAGAAACGGGTGGAAGCTCGCAGGACCCTTGACGTTTCTGTTCCCATCCGGGCACCTCCTCAGGCTCACGTTCACTTCCCCCCGAATGGTCAGGGACCTTGGCTTCCGAGGAGTGAACGGGTCGAATCAGTAGTCAGGCAGCATTAAGGTTGGGCAGTCGAGGTGACAGAGTTCACGCTGTTGCGCATATCTTATGTTCACCCTCCTTAGTACTCAATGCCAGAAAGATATGCTCGCATCGTTTCGGGTACAGACGGTGTTTGACAAGGGAGCGGCTTACGCAGGCGGAGTACGATATATGATGGGGAGCCCATTTGGGAAGTATGCGGGGCACCTGATGTTCTGCACCACTGGATCTTCAAATGCTGCCGTTCGCATGCTCTCACCAGAAGCCCTCACAGTCTCGGAAGGGTCGCCGCAAATATGTCGGCCACGCGCCGGGGGGGTAGGAGGAGGGGGGAAGGCTTCTAAAGAGCACCCCCTTCGTAGAAGGCGCGGGCGCCCCTTCTAAGAAGCTGTTGGTTGTTTCTTATGTTACTGGCGTGGTTCTAGGAAACAGGTGGCTTGCTTCTAAGAAGCAGGTATGTGTTCTAAGAAGTTGCTGGGGTGTTTCAAATAAGCGCCGCGCCCATGGCTTCTTAGAAGGGCGGCTGGCGCCTTCTAAGAGGCAGCCGCCTTCTAGGAAGCCTTCCCCCCTCCCCTCACCCTCTTGTGCGCGCCGACATATGGTCGATGTCTTGCGCTTCTCGGGTGGTCCGAGATATATTTGTGTCCAAGGGACTGCCGGTTTCGGGCATGAGCATCGTGTCGTCGAGGGTCCCATCGACGAGGTCATGCCAGGCAAGCTGTTCGGGGATGGCAGGTGTCGAAAACGCGGGCCTGCGCAGTGCCACCGCTCGGTGGTGGGGGGTCGCCAAGATCGACGATGCCAGCGAGCTCGCAGCTGCCCGGGCCCCGCGCGCGGCGCGACGGGGCTCATATTCCCCTGGTCGGCGCACCGCGGGGAGGCCCGGGGAGGGGGTTGTCTTTGGCGCGGCAATGTCTGCCCGCGACGGGGGTCGATTCGGGGCTGTCGACGGGGGTGGCGCCCCCGCCCCCCCCCGCTTGCTGCCAGACGCTGAGGGAGTTGCCCACGTGGTTCCCGTCGTGCGACTCTCAGCTCTCCCTTCTTTCTGGACGCCCGAAATGGGTACGGAAAGAATGGGTACGATGCCCAACAGCAGTTTCTGCTCATGTTGAACAGGACTCGCTGTCCGCGCCGCCGCGGCCTGTGTCCATTCGAGACAGAAGGCCGCCTGCCCAACAGCGGCTGCTGTTGGTTTGGGACAACATTTGCTGTCGGGCATTGTGCCCACTCTTTCGGTACCCATTTCGGGTGTCCAAAGTCTTCCGCTCCGCACACCTCTGGCTCGCCGATCTCGGTCGCCCTCGCCCCTTCTCCGAGCGTCACGATTTGCTGGCTGCGCCGGGCCGCGGGCCCAGCGGCGCCGCCCTCCCGGGCGGAGCGCGCAGCCGCTCTCACGCCCGCCACCCCAGCGGGGGAGAGCACGGGCTGCCTCTCTCCCTGCCTCTCTCCCTCCCTCCCTGCCTCCCTCCCGCCCTCCCTCCCTGCCTCCCTCCCTCCCTCCCTCTCCCTGCCTCCCTCCCTCCCTCGCAGAGGGGGGGGGGTCGGGGGAGGGGGAAGTCAAGCAGTGGCGAAGCGTCCCGGCTCGCTCATGGGCCTGCCAAACAATGTTCCAAGAACGTTTTTTCTGTGGTGTCCACGAGATGGTCTTAGAACGTTTCTGGCTGGGACTGGCTTGTTGTAACACATCGGGATTGTTGTTATCAGAACATGTTGGGGTCCTAAGAACACTTCTGTCGTTCTGAGAACACTTCTGTTGTTCTCAGAACATGTTTGGGTCCTACGAATGTTTCGTGGTAGGCCTTTAGAAATGCCGGGACGGTCCGTCCCTGCTCAATTATCAGAACCTCATGGGCATCCATTCGGAGCCCGCCCACTCGAACTCTAACAAGAATAAATCATTTTCGGGCGTCAAGGACTGTATCCGTCGGGGGGCCAGCCCAGACTTCTGAAGTGAGGGTCCTAGAACGAGGCCCACCAGAACGTGAATAACCTCGCAGCACGTTCTGAGCGGCGGTTCTTAACGATAGGTAGTGACCGGACGGATAGGATGGCAGAGCTTGCCGCGAAGAAGCACCCCCAGCCTCTCCTTGGGGAATACGGGCTTCTGGAGGAGGGCGACTGGACTCTTGAACAAGATCCTTGTCTTCCAACAAAGCATCTTCTCGCAACCACACAAAGTTAATAGATCCTCGGGTCTGCAATCGCTGGACTACAGACGCAAGTGTAAACAGAGGCTAAGATTCGGAAATCCTGAACAATATCCTGGGTACGCTTCGCCTGAGGAAAAGTCGCAGCAAGTGTGTTTTTGCTTAGAGTCGTGCCCCGTTGCCATTTGCATGCGCTTGAGCTTGAGTCTCCATGACCGTTGGCATCGTAACGCCTGGCCGGCTATGCATGCGCAGATCTCGTGCTGATTCCTCGGGACAGTTGCCAGCCAGTAGCGAGCAGACGGGCCACCTGTTCCGCACTGCCCTTCCGCCAGCAGAAGCCTGTCCAGGTGAGAGTCGCCGTCTCCACGCCGGAACAGTCTAAATCCCCTCCTGCGGCTGCGGTTGCGGATGCGGTCGTGGCTGCGGCTGCGGCTGCGGCCCGGGGATGAAGACCCCGGGCTCGCTGCGGCGGCAGCTGCTGCTCCCGTTAATTTTCCTGCCCTCGCCTCTCCACCTAGTGGCGAACACATCCGTATCCGCACCCTCGCGGTCTGGATTCCAGGGCGCGATCCCGCGGCTACGCGGCCGTGCGGGTACGTCCCGCGCAGGGCATCCACGAAAAAACGGTCCGCATCCGCGGGGTCGCGGCCTAGATGTCAGGCCCGCGAGGCCGCGGAAACGGATAGGTCATTCGCACACGAAAGACCTTTTGTTTGCCTTGCCCCCGCGGGGGGCGGGGGGCGTCTGAGCCAGCGGCATTTGAGTCCAGCCAATATGTCTACCCTCCAGCCAGAAATGGTTTTCCAGATTGCTTCGGAGCAGTTCACCGTCGTCGTGGGCCGTAGCGCGAGGTAGCTTGCAGGTGTTGGGGCTGCCAGCGGATCATTGCGAGTGTTCCTCCCTTAATGTGCGTGCGCGTCAATGCCACTCCCAGCTGCCATCCGCCTTCTTCTGCCCATCCCATCTCTTGATATCGGGGTCCTCGTGGACTAAGCTTCTCTCTGGGGGTCCATGTATGCTTCGACTTTCGATTCTGCAAAGATATGGGACTGGACTCCATGATACGG